TCTAGCTCTTCCCTAGATAGTCTATTTTACTACCATATATGAAACATCATCTCAAGTAACCCATAGAGTTTCAATAAGGGAATATCAGTGTTTTAAGACCGCAGCTAGATATAAATTGAGACATACCAATATAATCATCAAGGTAGACAAATAAAGAGAGAAGGTGTGGGTTCAACCCCAGCAACGATAAGTGAAAAAGACTGTTTCGATAGATGAGATAGACCGTTAAAATAAAAGGAGCTCTCCACCGATAAAAAAAGAGCATCCTTCACAACTTGGTGGTGAGGGATCTATGTAAGGACTAGACCACATCATCAGGAGTATCTACCCCTACTAAAATTAATAATTATAAACATGTCTAGTGTATGATCTTCTTTATATAAGAGTAGGTTGATTAAATAATATATTTACTTGACGGTATGATCAAGGAAGCCTCTGGTGCAAATGTCATCGTTTGATCAACAAATAGTCACGAGTAGGTCTAAATTAAAAGATATGCACTGAATCCTTCTTAGCGTGTTAAATTTGGCAGCCCTTAAAATAGCATAACCCCGTAGGGGGATGCTATGGTGGAGGGTCTCCCCTGGGACCCTCCTACAGGCACCTTCGGTACCCCTTCGGGACAATAGCATAAAAGGTGGAGAGTCTAAAATTGTAGTTTAGTTGTCCGAATGCAAAAAGTATCCTGTTTTAGAGAGATACTACTAACCAACCTATGTACACTAGTTTATATTTTTTCTATTTTACTTCTCCCTCTGGGTCTCCAGGTTAGAGTCCAACCTTTCACTTACTCATCTTCGTAGAAGAGTCCATTCTATCTTACATGGAATCTTAGTCTTAAGGTTCACATCTTCATCTCCAACTTATCTAAGAATCATCGATTTTCTCCTTCCTCATTTATACTCTACGACAGTAAAAATACTTCAATCAAGATATTGCCATTACACCGTCGGAGTCTTCCTTCTAGGCGGTGGGTGATATAGTCATAGCTGAATAAATAACTTCTGACTTAATGAAAACTTCTAACGAAATAAGATCACATACCTCTCTTCTAGTTAGTCTATTGAAGTTATCTAGTACAAATAGTCCCATTCGTAGCCTGAACTATCTCCCGACAGTAGGGGTCCCCTAGTCCACAAGTGACTGGGATATCATAGCCTCCAAGTCGTACTTATAACCGTTCTGTCTAGATAGTAAGAGATATGCCGACGTAGCTCAATAGGTAGAGCATTCGTTTTGTAATCGAAAGGTTGGGGGTTCAATTCCGTCTGTCGGCAATGACATAAATATCTTATCTGAGACACACCCTAGTGAGTATTAATTCTCTATCTGTCAACAGGTAATGGGTAAGCATATAGAGTGTTGGGTGTAAATGGTAGTATGAGAGGTCTACAATCGTAGAGAGCCAGCGAGCGGGCTCCCGAGGGTGTAGGATATATTCTATT